AAAAAAATCCCTTTACTGGGAAAAATAAAGGCACACTTTGCATGGAATTTCCCTGTCCTGATCCCTGTAATTCTTTCCTGGTTGCCCATTCGGTACAAATAACAGCAGCTTTCTGAAAAGGATTTAGCATGCCAGAATGACTAGGCGTTGCTGTACTCCTTCCAACATCCCAGTACACACTACTGGGAGCCATGTTCCTCCTCTTGCACAATCTAGGAACTTCTAAATTGTGTTTGAGTCATAGTGTCTTCAGGCCAGGAGATGAATTATGGCCGTTGTAAGCCAGTGTTTCTCAACAAGTGTGCTGTTGTTTTTGGACAAGACAATTTGTGTGTGTGTGAAAAGTATTTTGTGGACATTTAGCATCCCTAGACCAACCCACTAGATACCAATAGCACCTCTCTGTTTATGTGACAACTGAAAGTGTCCCTTTCTATATTTTCAATACTGCCCCCTCCCATCATACCCTTGATGAGAACCCGTGGTCTAAGGTAAGCATGGCTATCATGGTCTTTACCAAATAGTGGTGGTGCTCAGTCTTCTTGCAGGCAGAGTTGGACAGTTGAGCAGTTCTGACTGGGATCAGAGGAAATCTCTCGGGGTTTCTGAGAAAAATTTTCCTTCCTGAGAAGAGAGAGGCACACAAGATGAAATGTTTTCCCCCTCCCTCCCTTCCTTGTCTCTTACTAGACTGTGAGAGGCTGTGATGCTTGCACCTATCGAAACCATCTTATGATGATGAGGCAACAAGTTGGAAAATGAAAGCAGGCTGCTGGGAATTCAGAGTCAAGAATGGAAAGTCCCTGGATCCTCGATGACCCTGTTAATCTTCCAATCTCACCAAGGGACTGCCAGTTCTTGGGCTTTTTATTAGGTAAAACAGATATGTCCTTATATTTAAAACCCTGTTCATCAGGATTCCTGTTACCCATAGCAAAACACATTCTAACTTAGTTAGGAAGGTCATTTATATGATAAACAGGTGAAATAAAATGGAGAGGTGCCAGCAAAAGTAGGTTTTTCTGTGACACTTTGCTTTATTGTTGTTTTTACATTATGATGTACATAGCCCTTGTTTTATAATTTAATAAAGCAAAAATTTAGAAGTCATTATTCATTTCCAGAAAACCAAACTTTTATAAGACAAAAAACTAGCTACAATAAAAATACAAGGGTCTTGAAGCATTTTATTTTCAGAACTTTTTTTTTTTTTTTTCTTGAGACAGGGTCTAACTCTGTTACCCAGACTGCAGTCCGGTGGTGTGATCTCGGTTCACTGCAGCCTTCACCTCCTGGGCTCAAGCAACACTCCCACCTCAGCCCCCCAAGTAGCTGGGACTACAGGTGTGACCTACCACGCCCAGCTCATTTTTGCATTTTTTGTGGAAACAGGCGTCTCACTATGTTGCCCAGGCTGGTCTCAAACTCCTGGGCTCACCTCCCAAAGTGTTAAGATTACAGGCGTGAGCCACCATGCCTGGCCTATTTTCAGAACTTTTCAAAATGCTATTCTGTTTGCCTCTGATGCTTGCTAATTATGTTTAACCTTATGGATGCAACAGTAAGATCTTGTTTGGTCGAACACTCAGTCAAATCTCTTCAGTTTTTAAAAGGACAGTTTTTTGTTCCCCACAAATTAAAGACCCACTAGAACAGGAGACAGTCCATTCAAAAACTACGCGCCTGTTGAAAACTGCAAATCCGTATTTCTGCCAGAGGAATTCTGCCTTAAGCAATGGTTCTACTGTGGACCACATTGACTGCCTGTTAGGCTTGTTTTTGTTGCTCTTCCCTGTCTTTGTTAACCTCTAAATAGTTTTCTCCCAGTGCTACTGGCCAATCCAGGTCTTCAGCTTTTCTTGTTGACTAACAGTCGCCCCCTAGTTGGTCCTCTGCCACCCATCTTTGCTTCCCATCAAAACTGTCTCCTACACAACAAGCCTTTTCTAAGCACAGTTCTGGGAGATTTCCACTCCTGGGAAAATGAAGTAGACATACTTTGCCATGTTCCTCTCACCAAGTACGGCTGAAAATCCTGAGTATTATATGTAAAACAAACAGAAGAAGACTAAAAGGCAAACTGGCTATGGATTTCAGGATCCAAGGACTGACACAGGAGTGACTCCCTGTGTTTCGTTTTTGCTTCATATATCCCAGAAGCCAGCAGTCTGTAAACGTCAACAAGCATAGACCAAAAACAGCCCCCAGCAAAAGCCTCTTATGTATAACTAAAGGTCCAGGAAAGGAGGCAGTCTACCAAGACAGAAAACCTTTAGACAGTAACTGCTCTACTCCAGCCAGACAACAGAGAAGAATCTGTAGCCTACTCCCATCCACTCAAGCAAAGGCTCCTGATGAAAATGCCAGTGGACTGTGATGTGATTAATTAGGCAGGACACCAGGGTAGGCTTATCATAATCTGGGCACACAGAATTGCAGTCATTTGGCACACCTTTTCAGCAAAGTGAAAAATAGGAATTGCTTTATAGTACTGTGGGAAAGAGCACCGCCTGGTGATGAAACAAGAACAAAACATCTAGAGGCTGTGCTGCTGAGCCTGGGAGTGAAGTAGGGAATGTACAGTCAGGAGAAGGGACTGATGGAATGTGCTGGTCTGTTCCCGATGGAAGCTAGGCTCATCTTCCCTAAGAGGGAAGAATCAGTATGTAATGTGTCAACCAGTGCGGGACTCAGGGAAGTCCAAGGTCATTGGGTTTCTGGAGGGGAAAAAGAATAGAGGAAAAGGTATAGGCAGAGAAAGAGATGGGGAATGATGTTTCTTTGGTCCTCACAACCCAACATCTAGGGAAGTGAGGGCCTGCATTAGTCTCGTGTGACAGATGGGACAGCAGAGGCACAGAGAAGTTAGATGGTAGCACAGATAAGAGGTAAAGCTGGTGTGCTCATGTGATCACTTGCTTATGTGAGCATAAGTAGTTCTGGTTGTCATCTCACTATAGCCCATTTGAAGGCAGAAGGAGGAAAATTGCCCACTACACCAAAATTGCACTCAGTCAAACTTGCCACCAAGAGCTGAACAGTCGCCACGATGCTGAGCATGGAAGGCAGGGAGGGGTTCGTGGTAAAGGTCAGGGGCCTACCCTGGTCCTGCTCAGCCGATGAAGTGATGCACTTTCCTGATTGCAAAATATAAAATGGCACATCAGATATTTGTTTCATCTACATCAGAGAAGGCAGACCAAGTGGTGAGGCATTTGTTGAACTTGAATCTGCAGATGAAGCGAAATTGGCTTTGAAGACAGAGAAACTATGGGACACAGATACGCTGAAGTATTCAAGTCTAACAGTGTTGAAATGGATTGGGTATTGAAGCACACAGGTCTGAATAGCCCTGATACTGCCAGTGATGGCTTCGTCTGGCTTAGGGGACTTCCGTTTGGCTGTAGCAAGGAAGAGATTGTTCATTTCTTTTCAGGGTTGGAAATTGTGCCAAATGGATTAACACTGCGAGTGGACTTTCAGGGGAAGCCTTTTTGCAGTTTGCTTTGCAGGAGGTAGCTGAGAAGGCCTTGAAGAAACACTGGCAAAGAACAGGGCACAGGTACATTGAAATCGTCTAGAATAGCCAAGCTGAAGTTCAGACCTACTATGATCCCCCTCACAAGCTCATGGCTGTGCAGTGGCCGTGTCCCAGTGATAGGCCAGGGGCTGGCCGAGGCTATAATAGCATTGGCAGAGGAGCTGGGTTTGAAATGCTGAGGCAGGGTCCCTATGGTGGAGGGTATAGAGGCTGTGATGACTATCGTGGCTGTAATGATAGATGTGGCTGTAGGTCTGGTAGATTTGGAAAAGACTGCATTTACTGTTTTTCAGGAATGTCTGATCATGGATGTGGAGATGGTGGGTCCAGTTTCCAGAGCACCACAGGGCACTGTGTACACACTAGGGGGTTACCTTACAGAGCCACTGAGAATGATATAATTTCTGTTCACCTCTTAACCCCGTGAGAGTACATATTGAAATTGGACTCAATGACAGAGTTTACTGGTAGGGCAGATGTTGAGTTTGCTGCTCACGAGAATGCTGTCGCAGCTATGGCAAAAGACAAAGCTAATAGGCAGCACAGATATGTGGAGATCTTTTTAAATGCTGCAGGAAGGAGTAGGGG